CTGCATTTACAATGGGTATAAGTACAGAGAACAAGAACTATGGTAGACAACCAAACATAATTTAAAGAAGACTTTAAAGCGCTATCAGTCCATTGATTTCACACTATCAAACTTTTTATTTATATCAATGGAGCTTTTTCAAAGGCCTCTTTTTCTAGCACAAGGTGAGCATGGACCCTGTGTTGAAGCGATCACTAAAACCAACGTTCTTGAGTATAAGTAGAATTGTTTTAATAAAGTGGAGAGAACGAGTATATAAATGGACTGTGAAACCGTCGTGCGCGTTGATAATAATGCGATTTATAAGGGAGCGAGCATAAATATAGGCGCCGTTTGTCACTCCAGTAAAAAATATCCATAAATAGTGAATTTGGTAAGGTGAGTAGCGAGTGAGGAAGTGAGGTGAGTGAGTGAGTGAGGGGTGAAGTGAGGTGAGGGAGTGCAAGTCCGACTCTAAAGTGCAAAGCCGCCTCAGAGACAGAAATAGTTGATATTAACGCTACTGAAGAGGAAGAAGAGTGGGAGCTAAACAGGGACGTTCTGACTCTACTCCTCAATCACCTGCTTGTCTGCCTGCCTGTCTGCCTGCCTGTCGTCTGCTGCCTGCCTGCCGTCCGCCGTCCGTCCGTCTGATCTGGTCTGTCTGTCTGTCTGTCCGTCCGTCGTCCGTCTGGTCTGTCTTGCCCTTCTGTCTGTCTGTCTGTGCACACAGCCAGCTGCCAGGCTAGAAGCAGCATCACTCTGGACTGAGTGGCGCCGGGACGAGGGGCCGTGTTTAGGAGCGGCCGCTGCAGAATTTCCCATGTAGTGACGGAAAAGCCTGCTTTATAGGTCCAAATATATGACTTGTGAAAATAACTCCCCTATGATTAATGATTGGTTATTCTGAATGGGTCACTTTGGGCTTAAGATGCAAGGCAGCTGTCCTGGGTGCCATGGGTCGCCTTTGCCCCCCCCCATGCCCCCCCACCTACAGTAGACTTCTTCAGTGGCTTCAGCCTGTGCGTTAATAATATACCGCCCACCAAAGTAGCATCCCTCTGTAGGGAAGTAATGTGCAGGTCAAACAGAACTTATCACCTGCTTATCTTCACGCTACCCTCTTCAGCTATTCAATCTCTTCAAGATAATTGTGAGAGTAATAAATAGTAAGATTTGTATCTTCCTACGGAGGAGCTTAACACTGACCGTCTGTCTAAATATTTGTTATTTTGTATTACTCATGTATCGAGTTCAGACATATACAGTTGCAAGAAAAAGTATGTGAACCCTTTGGAACTACCTGGATTTCTGCATAAATTGGTCATAAAATGTGTTCTGATCTTCATCTAAGTCACAACAATAGACAAACACAGTCTGTTTAGGCTAAAACCACACAAACAATTATATGTTTTTATGTTTTTATTGAACACACCATGTAAACATTCACAGTGCAGGGTGAAAGTATGTGAACCCTTGGATTTAATAACTGGTTGACCCTCCTTTGGCAGCATTAACCTCAACCAAACGTTTCCTATAGTTGCATATCAGACCTGCACAACGGTCAGGAGGAATTTTGGACCATTCCTCTTTACAAAACTGTTTCAGTTCAGCAATATTCTTGGGATGTCTGGTGTGAATCGCTCTCTTGAGGTCATGCCACAGCATCTCAATTGGGTTGAGGTCAGGACTCTGACTGGGCCACTCCAGAAGGCGTATTTTCTTCTGTTGAAGCCATTCTGTTGTTGATTTACTTCTGTGCTTTGGGTCGTTGTCCTGTTGCATCACCCATCTTCTGTTGAGCTTCAATTGGTGGACAGATGGCCTTAAGTTCTCCAGCAAAATGTCTTGATAAACTTGAGAATTCATTTTTCCGTCAATCTGTCCAGGCCCTGAGGCAG